CAGCTATGCAGGCGAACCCAGCGGTGGTCCTGCTCGACAGCGGCTGCTCGCACCACCTGATGGGGACGAAGGAGGCCTTCGTCGACTTGGGGCCGAGCGGCGACGTGAAGCACGTACGCGGCTTCAATGGGGCGCTCCAGGACGTTCAGGGCCGCGGCACTGTCGCTCTGCAAGGGGAGGCCGGGAAGCAGGTGCTCATCCCCGATGTGCTCTACGTACCCGGCGTCCGGGCAAACCTGCTTTCAGCCGGCCAGCTGAAGGAGCACGGCGTGAAGCTGCAGGAGGACGGCGACGGGATGCTGCTCGTCTCGGCAGCAGGGGAGGTGCTCGGTCGGGCGACGTACACCGGGCGTGTCCTCTGCACCGACCTGCGCCCCTGCTCGGCCACGCCGACAACGCCTACCACGGAGGTAGTGGCCCTGCGCGCGATCGTCTCGGCGACGAAGGCAACGCCGGACAGGATGCACGCAAGGCTTGCGCACGTCGGCCTGGACACCATCCGAAGCTCAGCGGAGCACGAGGTCGCCACCGGGCTGGACCTCAAGTCAGCGTCCGACGCCGACTCCCCGTGTATTTCGTGCGTCAGCGGGAAGCTAACGCGGCACACCTTCCCCGACAGAGGCTCCGACGCCGACGACGTGCTGGCCGTCGTGCACATCGACCTGTGCGGGCCGTTCCGCGCGGCTGCCAAGGATGGCAGCCTGTACTTCTTGCTGCTGAAGGACCGCAAGACCCGCTACGTGTGGGTGAAGCCGGTCGCCAAGAAGTCAGATGCGTTGCCGGTGTTCGTGCAGTGGCTGGCGGTGGCTGAGCGGCAGACGAAGAAGTCGGTGTTGATGCTGCGCTCTGACCGGGGAGGGGAGTTCCTCGGGAAGCAGTTCACCGACTTCGTGAACGGCAAGGGGATCGTCCACGACCTGACCTGCCCATACACCCCGCAGCAGAACGGCATGGCGGAGCTGGAGATGAGGACGGTGGTGGAGTCGGTGCGGACAATGCTGCTGCACATGGGCGTGCAGCACCACTGGTGGCACCTCGCTCTCCGGCAGGCCGTCTGGGTCCGCAACTGCCTTGAGAGGTCGGCGCTGCCGCCGGGGACGACGCCGTACCAGCTGCTGACCGGGAAGAAGCCCGACTTGTCGCTGGCGCGGGTGTGGGGCTGCATGGCGCAGTTCTTAGTCCCCGAGCAGCAGCGTGGTGGGAAGCTGCAGCCGAAGGCACGGTGGGGCCTTCACCTCGGCGTGTCGGAGGAGAGCAAGGGCTGGGAGCTCCTCGACATCTCCGACAACCGGGTGGTCACCACGTCGGACGTGGTGTTCTACGAGAGCATGTCGCTGGACATGTGGAAGTCGGCGCATGGGCCGGTGTCACGGCGGATGCCGGTTCCCCCGCCAACGGACACCTCGACGGCGTCGGTGCCTCTGCTCGCCGAGGTCGGTGCGCTTGCTGGTGAGGACGCCGAGGACGTCCCCGGTCCCTACCCTTCACCTGCCCCTCCCCTGGACGCCGACTTGCATGGGCTGACCCCGACGTCGGCCTTCGGTGATGAGGGGAGACGTGGGGCGTCACCTGTGGCGCCGGCCCCAAGCATCGCCGGTGGCCGACGTGATGCTGTGCAAGTCGGTGTGGGAGCGAAGCTGACGCCGACTGGGAGGCAGCAGGTGGTGCAGACGCCTTTGGTGAAACCGGTAAAGGAGGCGCCTGCAGAACAGCAGCTGACAGGGGAGCAGGCAGCAGCGACGCCGACCAAGGAGCAGTCGGCGACCGGGTCATCGGCAGGGGAGCCGACCACAGGGGAGAAGTCGGCTGGGACGCCGACCACAGGGGAGAAGTCGGCTGGGACGCCGGCTGAGGAGCAGCATGACGCCAAGGGCAGCGACGACGGCGACGATGGAGGGGACGCCGAGGAGGTCCAGCCGGGACCACGGCGTTCAGGCCGACTTCGGAGGCCGCCTGACTTCTTCGTCCCCGCTGCCTTCACCACGGTTTACGACGTCGACGATGATGACCTGCTGTACGACGACGCCGAGGAGGATGAGGAGTTTCCAGAGCTCGACCCCGACATGCTAGCCGACCCCGAGCACCGTTGGGACATCTCGACGATGACGGTGAAGGAGGCGTTGGCGAGCTGGAAGGGCCCGGCGGTGAAGGCCGCCATGGAGGAGGAGATTCGCAGCCTCCTCAACATGGGAACGTGGGAGCTGGTCGAACGCCCGCCGGGAGTGAACATCATGAAGAACCGGTGGGTGTTGACGACGAAGTACCACACCGACGACACCGTCGAGCGAGAGAAGGCGAGGCTGGTCGTGAAGGGCTTCACGCAGGTGTACGGCGCCGACTACGACGAGACGTTCGCGCCGGTGGGCAGCTACGTCACGCTGAGGATCTTCCTCAGCATCGTCGCCGTCCTCAACCTCAACCTGATGCAGCTCGACATGAAGAACGCCTTCCTGCAGAGCAAGCTCGACCGGGTGCTGTACATGCACCAGCCGGACTACTTCAACGACGGATCCGGCCGGGTGTGCAGGCTGCTGAAGAGCCTGTATGGGCTGAAGCAGTCGCCGCTGCTGTGGTACTTGGCGCTCAACGATGTGCTGGTCGGCGCCGGGTGGAAGAAGAGCCAGGTCGACGCGGCTCTTTACTTCAAGGTCGGCAAGGACGGAGTGGCCTGCTGGGTGCTGGTCTACGTTGACGACCTGCTTGCCGCCAGCAGCAGCGCCGCGATGCTGACAGAGCTGAAGGAGCTGCTGGAAGCCGCCTTCGAGCTGCGCGAGATCTCGCCGGTGCAAAAGTACCTTGGGCTGGAGATCGTGTGCGACAGGTCGGCGGGGAAGCTGTGGCTGCACCAGCAGAGCTACGCCGACAAGCTATGTAGGCGCTTAATCGACGAGGAGCAGACCGGGCGCACCCCGAAGACGCCGGTCTCGGTCGACGCCTACGCCGAGCTCACCTTCGACGACGAGGAGGCGCAGGAACGCCAGGAGGAGGAGTACCGGCAGAAGGTCGGCTCGTTGCAGTTCGCGGCGACGACGACGAGGCCGGACATCGCCTTTGCCTGCAGCAAGCTGGGGAGCGGCCTCACGGTGAGGAGCGACCAGCACTGGCGCGAGGTCAACCGTTGCCTTGCCTACCTCGCCAACACACGTGACACCATTCTGGAGTTCGGCGGTGGACCTGAGTCGCTCGAGCTGGTCGGCTACGTGGACGCCGATGACGCCGGTGACAAGCAGAACAGGACGAGCACGGGTGGCTACGTGTTCGTCTACGGTGGGGCCGCAGTCTCCTGGTCGAGCCAGCGCATCAAGTGCGCGACGCTGTCGTCGACCGAGTCGGAGTACGTGGCGGCCACTGAAGCTGGCAAGGAGGGACGCCGCCTTCGCTTCCTCCTCGCCGAGTTCCGGCAGCTGGACGCCGGGAAGCCGACTGTCCTGCGCGTGGACAACAAGTCGGCCATCACGGTTGCCGAGGGCATGGGGTTGACAGGCAACCTCAAGCACATGGAGCGGCGACAGGCCTGGCTGCAGCACATGGTGAAGCGCGGGAAGTTCTCGCTGCAGTACATCCCGACCGCTGAGCAGCCAGCCGACTTCCTGACGAAGGCGCTGCACTATCCGGCCTTCAACCGGTGCTCCGTCGCAATCGGCCAGGTGCGCTTGGCCGACGTGGGCGACGGCGACAACGACGTGCAGCAGTAGGTGCCATGCCCTCTTGCATGGCTGGTGCGGTGACCGGCATGCTGTGTGTTGGGTGCACGCCGACGGGCTATTCTCGGAGCTGTACTGCCGTGTGGGCTAGGGGCCCAAGCGTGAACGTGGCAGGGGAGTGTCAACGGGAGTGTTGTAAGGCCCCGTCCTCGCTTGGGCGGAGCCAACCTTGTGGTCGGATGTGCGGGGGTTGCAGCCGACCTGCAGCAGTGGGCACGGGGGCCACTGCAAGGGCGCCAAGCTGGAGGGCGCCTCGCTGGAGGGCGCCGAGCAGGAGGACGCCGCCCTGGACGCCTGGTTGGCGTCCCGGACGCATGGACGGCGTCCTGGGAAGCTGGACGCCGAGCTGGGCGTCGCCACGACTACCCGGGCGCCTGGTCGACGTCGTGGGCGCCTGCACGGCGTTCTGGAAGGCCAGACGCCGACCTAGGCGTCTGCACGGCGTCCTGGGGGTCCGGACGCCGACCTGGGCGTCCCGGGGGGCCCAGACACCGACCTGGGCGTCTGGTCGGCGTCCTGGGAGGAGGGACGCCGCTCTGGAGGTTTGCTCGGCGTCCTGGGCGTCTGGACGCCGACCTGGGGGTTCGGAAGGCGTCCTGGGCGCCTGGACGCCGGACTGGGGACGCCGGGCATGCGTGGCCGGCTACGGACTGCGCTGGTCGGCCAGGCGTGGTTGCCCGGTCGACCGGAATACCCGGGCGACGTGTGCGAGTGTCGCCAGGGTGGAGTCTGCGAGGCCGACCTCGGGGGTGGTATCCCGAGGTCGACGTGGCTGGTGGGCGCAGTCGCTGGCGTGGAGTCTGCCAGGCGTCTGCGCTGTGCTCGTGACAAGGTGTGGAGCGCCAACCAGCTGCGCGCACCTGCGAAGCAGGTGCACCGTTGTCCTGCGGGTGCAACGCTGTGCAGCCGACTTGCTGCAGCGCTGGCACACCGTGGACTTGCAACGTTGGCGAACCGCTACTCTGCAACGCTGGAGCGGTGCGAGCGCTGCTGCGCTGGAGCGCGGTCGACCGTGCTGCGCTGGAGGTCGACCAGCAGCCTAGCTAGCACTGATGTAGTCTGTGATGCCACTGTTGTTGCTACGATTATTGTCATGTTTTCCTAGTGAAACTCTTGCCAATTCTCCCCGTGAACTAGCAAGCAGCGTGAACACAAGGAAACGACTAAGTGAACGAACGCAGAGATCACACGAGCACACGTGTCTAGCCCGTAGCCTAGCTCCCGTTGTAGCAGTTATCTCCGCACTCGTCATCCGCGATATCTGCTGCTGAGCGCTCTCTATTTGCTGCCCTCGCGCTAGCCTGTGCACTTGATTCGGCCTCCTGGGCCGGTTGTGGGCCACGCGGCCTCCTCTGTCCCTGGTTTGCGCCTGTATTCGGGATCCCCTCCTCTGCGTCGAGGGAGATATCTTCAGAATCCCTCTCCTCCGATTCAATATATTTCCCATAACTTCCTTCATCCTCACCCCTCATTGGGTTTGCGTTCTGTCTTGTGCCAGTCCGCTCCGGCCTTCCGTGTCTTTCCCGCCAGTCCCCCGATCTGGCCTTTTCCCTTGCTACCGCTCGTACCAAGTTTCCCAGGCCTCCTCCCCTGCCTCGGCCCCTCCCTCGCGCTCCTCGCGCTGCCGCCCCAGGCGCCACGGTTTCCGGCGGTCGACCTTCAGCTCTCCGGTTGGCCTGCTCCCGCAGGGCCTGCTGCTGGTTCGTTCCCCCTTGGTGGCGGCCGCGTCTCGCCGCGGCCCTCCTCTCCTCTGCATCTTCGGCGGCGCTCTCCCTCTCCTCCTGCGCCTCCGCCTCTTCTTCCGCGATCTCCAGCGGTGATGACTGGTCGGCGCCGCCCTCCACCTCGGCGACTGCCTGGGGCGGATCTGCCTGATGCGTCCAACCCACAAGGGGCCCAGGTCGGGCGGGTGCCAGCCCTTCTCCGAGCCACCGCTGATGTTGTTGCGGCCGCGGCTTCTGGCGGCGGTTCCTCTCAGGCACACGTCGGTTCGTCTGCGCCTCGTGAGCCGATTTATCGGTCTCCCCGCGGGCGGACTCATCCGCATCTAAGGGCCCGGGGTCAATCCTTCCGCCGCCGCCGCCCTCCCTGGCCATCTCCGTCGCTTGCCCTGCAGTCGGCGCGATCCTTGGTTCAGGCCCCACGGTCGCAGGTGCCACTGGCGCCTCACTCGCAACCATCGACGCAGCCCCTGCCGCCTCGACCGTTGCCGTCGCTGGCTTCTTCTTCGTCACAGCAGCAGCCTTTGTCTGCACCAGCGGCCCTGTTATCCTCCCCATCGGTGGCGCCGCCCAGGGCTGAGCCGGTGGCGCCGTCTGCGTCTTCCGGCCCGAGTTGCTTGCCGCCGCAGCCGCCGCTGACGTGGGCCTCTCTTCTAGCGCCTCAGACGCCGCAGGCCCAGCTGCAGGTCTCTCAGTGTCAGCAGAGTCCTTCTCTGCCGCCGCTAACCTCTCATCCTCCGCAGATTCAGCCGCCTCCTGCGGCTCAGCAGCCGTCTCTGCCGCCGGTTCCCCACCCACCGGTTCCTCCGCCTCAGGGGCCTCCCTCTCAGCCGGCGCAGGCCTCCCTATGTCCTCCGTCTGCCCTCCCTCAATCTCAGCCGCCCTTGCAGCCTCCTGTGGTGCCGCCGCCGCCCCCCCATGTGGGGCCTCAGTCTCTGCCGCCGCCGGTACCTTCTCCCCTCCCCCCTCCTCCTCCTCCCCGTTTATCGCCATCGGCGCCTCCTGGTCCGCCTGCTGATCCCTGGGGGGTGTCGTGGTCTCGTCGCCCGCGTGATGGTGGTTGGGGCCCTCCCTGGTGCGCTTCTCCTGCTGAGGTGGCGTATCCCGCCCCTGATTCGCGGCTGTTGCAGTTTTGCCGTTGTGTGGCTGGCGTGGCTGTTGTGTTGGAGCAGCTCCATCATGCTCTTCAGACGCGGGAGATTGTCCAGCGCGATCCCGAATTTGGCGAGCTGCAGCTGGCGCACGTGCGCGCGGCGGTGGCTGGCGCACTGTGGGAGGTGTTGCGTTTGCCGCTGGAGCCTGTGGATCCTGTACTGGACGAAGGTCCTGGCGCCGCGGCCTTCCAGAGGGTAGCCAAGGCTGCTGAGTCGGCGCCTTTGGAGGTGGTCCCTGCAATCTCGTCCTTGCTCCGCTAGCTTGAGCAGCGGGTGCGTCAGGTTTAGGCGGCTTCGCCTTTGTCACCTTGGTTGTGGGCAATTTCCTCCCCATGACTGGGGGCCTGCCTGTTGTGTGACTCTGGGCAGCCTTAGTTGAGCCCTTTTGTAATGTATGCCATTGTTTAACGTTGCTCTTGTCCCCTTGTACTTGCCTCCCCTCACGCGCGGCCGAAGGCCGCGCCGTCGAGCGTCGGCCGCCGAAGGCGGCCGGCGCGAGCCGCTGGGTTGGGAGGAACCAAGCTCACCAGAGAATAATGGCAGGAATGAGGCAGTAGGGGAGGCTATATGTGTTAATGTACTCCTTATAGGCTTGCTGCAGGGAATACACTAGGGACAGGAGGCTAAGAAAGCCTTAAATCTATGCTATGCTAAGGCTAAGCTAAGCTAGAGAGCTTGGAGAGACTAAGGAAAGGGCCTAGTGCCTCTCTCTCTCTCTCTCTCTCTCTCTCTCTCTCTCTCTCTCTCTCTCTCTCTCTCTCTCTCTCTCTCTCTCTCTCTCTCTCTCTCTCTCTCTCTCTCTCTCTCTCTCGCTCTCTCGAACGAGCCGCTGGGTTGGGAGGAACCAAGCTCACCAGAGAATAATGGCAGGAATGAGGCAGTAGGGGAGGCTATATGTGTTAATGTACTCCTTATAGGCTTGCTGCAGGGAATACACTAGGGACAGGAGGCTAAGAAAGCCTTAAATCTATGCTATGCTAAGGCTAAGCTAAGCTAGAGAGCTTGGAGAGACTAAGGAAAGGGCCTAGTGCCTCTCTCTCTCTCTCTCTCTCTCTCTCTCTCTCTCTCTCTCTCTCTCTCTCTCTCTCTCTCTCTCTCTCTCTCTCTCTCTCTCTCGCTCTCTCGAACGAGCCGCTGGGTTGGGAGGAACCAAGCTCACCAGAGAATAATGGCAGGAATGAGGCAGTAGGGGAGGCTATATGTGTTAATGTACTCCTTATAGGCTTGCTGCAGGGAATACACTAGGGACAGGAGGCTAAGAAAGCCTTAAATCTATGCTATGCTAAGGCTAAGCTAAGCTAGAGAGCTTGGAGAGACTAAGGAAAGGGCCTAGTGCCTCTCTCTCTCTCTCTCTCTCTCTCTCTCTCTCTCTCTCTCTCTCTCTCTCTCTCTCTCTCTCTCTCTCTCTCTCTCTCTCTCTCGCTCTCTCGAACGAGCCGCTGGGTTGGGAGGAACCAAGCTCACCAGAGAATAATGGCAGGAATGAGGCAGTAGGGGAGGCTATATGTGTTAATGTACTCCTTATAGGCTTGCTGCAGGGAATACACTAGGGACAGGAGGCTAAGAAAGCCTTAAATCTATGCTATGCTAAGGCTAAGCTAAGCTAGAGAGCTTGGAGAGACTAAGGAAAGGGCCTAGTGCCTCTCTCTCTCTCTCTCTCTCTCTCTCTCTCTCTCTCTCTCTCTCTCTCTCTCTCTCTCTCTCTCTCTCAAGCGGTCCTTCATTGATAGTAAGCAAGGTACAGGCAAGGCATTAAGAATCAGCCATCCTAGTATGCAGTCTAGCTTACAGGCTAGCAAACAGGCAAACAAGCAAGCAAGCAACAACCCATACCCATCCTGCTTGTTGGCCCGGCTAGCCAAGGCCTATCAAGTGCCTGGCACCCTGGGACCGCTGCTTGGGGTCCCCTTTGCCTGAGCCCCTCACACATCTAGGGCCAGCCCCCAGTCCAGATCATCCTCCAGGACCTGCCAGAGGTCCCCTAGGCATGGCTCCCACGGGTCAGCTGGTGCCTGGGGGAAGGCCCGTTCAGTCTCTCTCTCTCTCTCTCTCTCTCTCTCTCTCTCTCTCTCTCTCTCTCTCTCTCTCTCTCTCTCTCTCTCTCTCTCTTGTCTCTCTCTCTCTCTCCCTCTCTCACTCTCTCCCTCTCTCTCTCTCTCTCCCTCTCTCTCTCTCTCTCTCTCTCTCTCTCTCTCTCTCTCTCTCTCTCTCTCTCTCTCTCTCTCTCTCTCTCTCTCTCTCTCTCTCTCAAGCAGTCCTTCATTGATTTTGTTATAGTGGTACATTTTGGACAATCAAGGCATGGGTTTGGTATGCATACTAGCCTAGACACATAGGCAACCAGACATGCAAGGCTTCTGCTAGTTCTCATCTAGGCCAACAATCTGCCAGCTTGACGCACAACCATCCAACATGAGCACTGTTCTCTCTGTATCTCTCTCTCTCTCTCTCTCTCTCTCTCTCTCTCTCTCTCTCTCTCTCTCTCTCTCCCTCTCTCTCTCTCTCTCTCTCTCTCTCTCTCTCTCTCTCTCTCTCTCTCTCTTTGTCTCTCTCTCTCTCCCTCCCTCTCTCACTCTCTCCTTCTCTCTCTCTCTCTCCCTCTCTCTCTCTCTCTCTCTCTCTCTCTCAAGCAGTCCTTCATTGATTTTGTTATAGTGGTACATTTTGGACAAGCAAGGCATGGGTTTGGTATGCATACTAGCCTAGACACATAGGCAACCAGACATGCAAGGCTTCTGCTAGTTCTCATCTAGGCCAACAATCTGCCAGCTTGACGCACAACCATCCAACATGAGCACTGTTGTCTCTCTCTCTCTCTCTCTCTCTCTCTCTCTCTCTCTCTCTCTCTCTCTCTCTCTCTCTCTCTCTCTCTCTCTCTCTCTCTCTCAAGCAGTCCTTTATTGATAGGTTCATAGGGGTACAGGCATGGTAGGAATAGAGCTAGACAGGCCTAGGCATTGGAGCTACTAATTATGCAAGGCAGGAACGTGAAGCCAGCAGAACATCTGCACACAGACAAACCGGTCAGGTGAGGCATGGCAAGCAGACAAGGCGAGGCAAGGCAAACCAGCGAGACAGGGCACTGTAAGGCAAGGCCAAGCACGGTCAGGAGTGCAGGCAGGCAGGCCATTCAGGCCAATCATGCAGCAACCGAGCCATAGCTACATCACTGGCCAACAATCACTCCTACCTACTGAGCCATCACAACCTCCAGCTCATCCTCCAGCACTTGCCAGAGGTCCCCCAGGCTAGGTTCCCAAGGGTCCCTAGCAGCCTGGGGGAACGCTGCCTCATCAGAGAGGTTTGACTTGTTCAGATAGGATGTTGCCTGGGAGCGCTGCAGCATCACAGACCAGCGCTGCCGGTAGTGTGCAGTAAGCCGTGCAGTCGTCGTTGTCAACTTCCCCTGGCGGTATTTCTTCTTGGCTGCTGAGGTGGCCAGTAGCCGTAGGAACTCCTGTGTGTCCGAGGACAGAGCCCCATACGTCTCAACCGCGAGGCCAAAGAAGCCGACGTAGTCTGGCCGATCCTCATATTCCCTGTGCTTCCTAGCCGATGCCTCCTCAGCCGCCCACCCCGGTGGTTTCCGTGCCCTGGTGTCGCGCTGCTGGAGCACAGGGTCAGTCACTGTCACGTCTGTAACCCAGGTCTCGTTTGACTCCCTGTCTCGAATCGCCAGGTCTCCCCTCTTCCTGAGGATCGGTGGGGAAAAAGCTGATGTCTCGTGGAAGCACGTGAAGTCCGCTTCCCTTGCCATCCTGAGGGCTGCAAACACTAGCGCGTTGTGCGTTCTAACGACGTCGCCCCCGTACCCGCACCTAAGGAGATGGTTCGGCAGGCTCGTGTCGTTGATGTCTGAATACTCTCTCTTGCAGGGACACTTCTCAGTGACCGGCATGGACATGCCCATGCGGAACCCCAGCGCCAAGGAGAACTGACCAGGGGCAAATGTAAGGTCAGCTCTCGAAGGCACAGCGTGTAGCCAGTCCCCTGCCCCCACCCCCTGTAGGCTGATGAGGCGGATGGCGTGCCCGCGGTATGTGCCTGGGCGGTCTTTGATCGTGTCAGCCAGTAGTTCCGCTGCTCGCCTCTCATAGATATGGCGGGAGAGTAGTAGCTGCAGGTTACCCTGTCCTGCTGGCTGCTCCCTGAACGCCTGTAGTGCGGTTCGTGCTGAAGCCGGCAGGGCTGCCTCCAGTGGGGCCAGCTGGTTAACTTCAGGTGGGGCAGGGCTCCACGCATGGTCGAGCCGTGTGACCGCCCTCTTCAGCAGGTACGCCTCTGGCAGGTTCATCTGCCGCAGTAGGGTGTGGGCTGCCATTACTGACGCGATGTAGGCTGCCGGTGCCTCCGAGGTAGGGTCGATGATGCCTAGCCCCCCCAGCCTCACGGGTAGGGTTCCTTGCCGCCACAACAGGCTCTGTTCCAGCTCACTCGCTGGGACCCGTAGCTTTGCCGCCGCCAGGGCCGTCGCCATCAGAGTCTCGCTCCACGACCTCCATTCCTCCCTCTCCAGCACTGTAGCCGGGGTGGTCCGCAGCAGGTACGATATTCTGCGGGAGATGCTCCTCGAGAGTATTAGCATAGCGTGCTGTGGGTGCAGCTGAGCAATCAGGGGCAGTGGTGCGGCCGCTTCTGTGAGGCTTGTCTGTGCCTTGTCCGTACAAAACTCGGGCGTGCCGATCGGGCTTCCCAAAACTCCGATGCCGTTGGTGTTCATGGGCAGGCCCTGTGGTGGTGGGATCTCATTCCCCCCTTCCGTATCCGGTTCCCACCCCGAGGACTTGGCGATGTTGCAGCGGAGGCCAACCGATCGGAGCTCCCGTGTGATGGTGACGAAAGCCTCATAGGCCGCGTCCCGAGGGCCCACAATGGTGATGTCGTCGGCGTAGGCGACGATCGCCACCTCGGGGAGTAGCGTTGCCGTGCTCAGAAGTGTCGGTTGGATTGCTGTTGCGAAGAGGAGCGGACCGAGCGGATCACCCTGGCGAACTCCTCGGTTGCTCATGATCTGATCGACGCCCAGCTTGTGGTCCACTAAAAGCCTAGACGGGCCGTCGTAGAGCGTGCGTACGAGGGGTAGGAGTGATAACAAACTCGATTGCGAGAGCGCCTGAAAGAACGCCGGCCGTTCGACACTGTTGAAGGCGTTCTCGATATCGAGCTGTAGCGCTACTCGGCTCTCGTCCTCCTTAAGCAGAGATCGAACTGAGTGGATGATGCACTCTGCGCCGCCTGTGACTGCCACCCCAAACTGAACGGGGAGGAAGTATGCGCGAATGGTCTGTGCTAGTTCCCTCAAAGCCGCCTTTGCCACTACGCGAAGTATTGCTTCTCCTATCGCGATGGGCCTAACGCCTCCTCCCGGTTTTTCCAGAGCGATGAGTCTCGAGGGCAGTAGCAAATCGCGGACCGCCTGCGTCTGGAAGGTGCTAAGGAGGTAGCTGATAGTTTGCGCGAGGAGTATGAGCACCTCCTCACTCGCGAGCGCAGGGTCTTTGAGGTGTTCAAAGCAGGTACCTGATGGGCCTGCTCCCACTCCGTTCGGGCATCGCTTGAGTATTTCGCGAAGGTCGTCTGGTGTTACCCGCAGCTCCGAATGAGTGTAGCCAGAAACGAACATTTCCCGGGGCGATGCAGCATCGGGGTGTTTCGCCTGCAGCGCGGCGAGTGTCGCTGGTGTGGCCTCGGCGAGTGGGGTTGCGCGTAACGCCGCAACTGCCTTCGAGATGTTACCCTTCTTCATAAGTCCTTCCGCCCTAGCACAGAGTCCAGCGTCATCCGCTTGGTGGCGTGACGGGTTCTCCGTATCGGGGATGACCCTAGCCTCCTCGAAAAGTTCCGCCCAGCTGCCTTGCTGGAACCGGTGCAGCCTTCCCTCAATCCCAACCCACCGACTTCCTTGAACTGGTTCGGGAAGGGGCCGCAAGGTCAGCCTCGGGAGGAATTGCAGGATCACCCATGCACCTGGACAGTCGGGAAATTTCTGCAGGCGTAGGAGTGGTGCCAGCACGCAGAGGGTGTAACTTTCCAAAATTTTGGGGGGCATCCTCCGAACCAAGAAAGGTTGGTCCCCCCGCTGAAGTGGGGTAACTTCCCACGTGGCTGCCTGCTGCCAGATGGCCTCGTTTGCCGCCAGTTCGGCCGGTGACTGTACGTTGGGTTGCCCGGTTTCTCTCTGGCACCCACTCGTCACTACTCCGATCTCTCCCCTTTCGTGGGGGTTTCTCTCCTGGGGGTTTCTCGCACCGTGGTTTCTGTCCTGGGGGTTTCTCCCAATCTCCCTTCGTCCCCTCTCTCTTCTTGTAGTGTCTCCCTCCTCCTCTAGCGAGATCTCTTCTGAGGTTTCGGGGGTCTCGGCTACATAATCCCCCCCGTCCTCCCCATTCCCAGTGTCCCTCTCCTCCTGATTCGTCGGTGGCGCCTCCTGCTCCGGGCGATCGTGGCGTTCCCTCCACGTTCCTGATCTCACAAGCGCCTCCCTTCCGCCGACGATTGCGCCCCCGCCCCTTCTTCCCCCTCTTGCCCCGCGTCCTCCTCCTCGGGCCCCACGGCTCGGCGCTCCTTCCCCGGTCCGGCTCTCGTTGTTCCGCCCCCCTCGTCCGACCTGTGGCTCTCTTCCCGCCGGGATCCACGGTGAGTGTGCCAGTCCCAGTCTCGGACGGCCCCATGTAATTCCTTGTGAGCGTGTGGAGCTCCGTGTTTCCCGCTGTGGGCCTTGTGTAGTCGCTGCCTCCGGGGCGTTGTGTCCTGCCACGTGCCTGACGTCAGCTTCCTCGTCGCTTTCCCCTCTTTCTTGTCCCACAGATGGAGGTCGACGCTCTGGCGATAGTGGCGACTGCTCTTGCTCACTCCAGCCCCGGAGGGGTCCCGGGGCGCCAGGCCCCAGCCCTGCTCCGGGCCGCCTCGGCGTTGGCTGGGCACGGAGCTTCCTCCCGCCCCTCCCGTGGGCGGCGCGTCCAGGGGCGCCGGTCCCGTGACCCCGTCTTCCGCTCGCCGCCTGGTCGCGCTCCTGCGTGTCTGCGCCCTCGGCAGCGGCAGATGTTCCGGCGCTCACAGCTGCCACCGATGCCTCCCCCTCGATCGGGGCGTCGGCCAGGTTCCCTGCCGCGGTCGCAGCAGTCATCGCCGCAGCCAACACCGCTGCCGGTACCGACGCTGGTGACGCAGACAACGTCACCGCCTCGGACGGTTCCCGATCCACCGCCAGACCCAGCTCCAGCGTCTGCTGTTGTGGCCCCTGGTGGTTGGCAGAGCGTGAAGTTGAGCCGCCGCCAAAAACGGCGTCAGTTCTGCCAGCCCGCCCCAATGCTGTCACAGCCTCCTCTGGCACCTCCGCGGCAGCAGTGATCCTAACTCACCAGTGAATAATGAGCTCACTAGCCTAGATCCAGGGCCTTTATACTAAGGAAAAGGCCTAGAAAAGGCTAAGGACTAGATCCTAGAGAAGAGAGGCGTAGAAATGGCTAAGGACTAAGGCTATGCCATCTCTCTCTCTCTCTCTCTCTCTCTCTCTCTCTCTCTCTCTCTCTCTCTCTCTCTCTCTCTCTCTCTCTCTCTCTCTCGCTCTCTCTCGAACGAGCCGGCGGATTTGGAGAGTGATCCTAACTCACCAGTGAATAATGAGCTCACTAGCCTAGATCCAGGGCCTTTATACTAAGGAAAAGGCCTAGAAAAGGCTAAGGACTAGATCCTAGAGAAGAGAGGCGTAGAAATGGCTAAGGACTAAGGCTATGCCATCTCTCTCTCTCTCTCTCTCTCTCTCTCTCTCTCTCTCTCTCTCTCTCTCTCTCTCTCTCTCTCTCTCTCTCTCTCTCTCTCTCTCTCTCTCTCTCTCTCTCGCTCTCTCTCGAACGAGCCGGCGGATTTGGAGAGTGATCCTAACTCACCAGTGAATAATGAGCTCACTAGCCTAGATCCAGGGCCTTTATACTAAGGAAAAGGCCTAGAAAAGGCTAAGGACTAGATCCTAGAGAAGAGAGGCGTAGAAATGGCTAAGGACTAAGGCTATGCCATCTCTCTCTCTCTCTCTCTCTCTCTCTCTCTCTCTCTCTCTCTCTCTCTCTCTCTCTCTCTCTCTCTCTCTCTCTCGCTCTCTCTCGAACGAGCCGGCGGATTTGGAGAGTGATCCTAACTCACCAGTGAATAATGAGCTCACTAGCCTAGATCCAGGGCCTATATACTAAGGAAAAGGCCTAGAAAAGGCTAAGGACTAGATCCTAGAGAAGAGAGGCGTAGAAATGGCTAAGGACTAAGGCTATGCCATCTCTCTCTCTCTCTCTCTCTCTCTCTCTCTCTCTCTCTCTCTCTCTCTCTCTCTCTCTCTCTCTCTCTCTCTCTCTCTCTCTCTCTCTCTCTCTCTCTCTCTCAAGCAGTCATGTATTGACATGGTTCACAAGGTACAAGCATGGCAGGTGGGGGCTCCCACATTGTCTAAGCGTGCAAGCAGCCGTGAGTCTAACATAGCGAGGCCAGCAAGCTAGCAAACAAACAACAAGCAGAACACAGAGGCCCGGCGGTCAAATTATGCGTACACAGGTCGCCACACGCTAAGGCACTCGAGCCAGCCAGTACCAAGGCCACCAAACCCTGTCCCAACAGTCCTCCTGCTCCTGGACTCCCCCCACTGCTCCTGTCCCTCTGTCCTTGATCCCCTCCAATGCAGCTTCCTACCATCATCCAGCCGTCGCCTTCCACTTCCCCCCCAGCCCTCTAAGCCGCTCTGGCAGGAGCTTGACGCTCCTCGTACTCATCCTCCTGCATTTGCCAGAGGTCCCCTAGCCGGGGGGCCCAGGGGTCTACCGGCGCCTGTGGGAATGCCGCCTCTGCCGCCCGGTTTGACTTAGAGAGGAGTGATGTCTCCTGGCTGCGTTGAAGCATCACCGACCACCGCTGCCTGTAGTGTGCGTTTAGGCGGGCTGCGGTGGTGGTGAGGCGCCCCTGGCGGTATTTCTTCCGTGCCGCATAGTTAGCTCGCATATGGAGGAACTGCTGGGTGTCAGCCGCCAAAGCCCCATAGGTCTCGACTGCCAGGCCGAAGAAGCCGACGTATCCAGGGCGCCCCTCGTAGAGCCGGTGTTTTGTCTGAGACGCCTCCTCCGCTGCCCACCCTGGTGGCTTCCGTGCCCTCACATCCCTCCTCTGCAGGACCGGGTCCGTGACTGTCACGTCTGTCGCCCAGGTCTCCCCCGATTCCGGGTCCGCTCGCTTGTTCAGGACAGGGGGAGAGAAGGCGGTCGTCTCGTGAAAGGTCCTGTACCCTGCTTCCTGCGCCATGCGAAGGGCCGCGAAGACCAGGGCGTTGTGGGTGCGCACAGCATCCCCGCCGTCAGCACAACGAAGCAGATGGTTTGGCAGGCTCTTGTCAGCAATAGAGGAGTTGGATCTCTTGCAGGGGCGAACCTCCGCTATTGGTAGCTCCATGCCAAGGCGCAAGCCTAGTGCCATGGAGAACTGACCAGGGGAGATTGAGAGGTCAGCCTTCGTGGGCACTGCATGGAGCTAGTCGCCTGCTCCCACTCCTTTCAAGCTAATAAGCCGAATTGCATGGCCCCGGTCCACCCCCGGCCTATCAGTGACCGTATCCGCCAGCAGCTCTTCCGCCCGCGTGTGGTTAATGGCCTTGGATAGCCCCAGCTGCAGGTTGCCCATGCCCTTGGGGTTCTCCCTATAGCTGCGGAGGACTACTGCAGCCTGTGCTGGGAGCCTCGCCTCAAGCAGTGACAGCGGGTTGACCCGGGTGGGAGGTGGGGCCCACGTCAGGGAGAGGAGATCCCCGGCTCTGTGAAAAAGGTAGTCCGGCGGTAGGTTCAGCTGCTGCAGGAGAAGGTGCGCCGCTGCAGTTGAGGCTAGGTATGCTGCTGGGGCTTCGGAGATGGGATCAATGATTCCCAGGCCTCCTAGCCGAACCGGGAGCGTGGCCTGGCGCCACAACAAACTCTGCTCTAGCTCGCTCGGCGGGATCTGAAGCTTCGATGCCGCGAGCCCTGCTCCCACCAAAGCCTCGCTCCACTCCCGCCATTCCGTATGGGCCAGTGCATCTGCTGGTGTTGTGCGCAGTAAGTACGAGATGCGGCGGGAGATGCTCCGAGATCGCATGAGTAGGGCGTGCTGCGGGTTGAGTTGGGAGACGAGATGTAGCGGCGCAGCCGCCTCCGCAAGCGTCGCCCGAACTTGGTCGGTGCAGAAGGCGTCGCTGCCGACCGGGCTGCCCAACACCTTCAAACCGCCTGGGTGGATAGGAAGACCATGTGGCAGGCCATCTCCCCTTTCCTCCCGCACTGCACTCCATGCCGCCGACTTGTTAAGGTTGCACCGTAGTCCACATAAAGCCAGCTCCGCGACGACCGTGTTGAAAGCCACGCATGCTGCTTCGCGAGGCCCAACGATGGTGATGTCGTCAGCATAAGCCACTATTGCCACCTCCGGTACGCTCGTGGCCACGCTGAGCAGTATTGGCTGGATCGCCGCTGCAAAAAGGAGAGGTCCCAGCGGATCCCCTTGGCGGACACCCCTGGAGCTTTAGATGTGCTCCACTTCCAGACAGGGGTCTACTAAAAGCCGCGAGGGGCCATCTTAGAGGTTCCTAACGAGCGGGAGCAGCGGGTTGAGAGTAGACCACTGGAGGGTGGAGAGGAATGACGCGCGTTCTACACTGTTAAACGCGTTCTCTACATCAAGCTGTAAAGCTATGCGGGTCTCTTCATGCCTAAGGAGAGAGCAAACCGTGTGGATAATACACTCCGCACCCCCAGGGACCGCTACGCCGAACTGAACGGGAAGGAAGAACTCCCGGATTTTTGGGCCTAAACTGTGCAGTGCCGCTTTAGCCACTATGCGGAGCAACGCCTCGCCTATAGCGATCAGTCTAACTCCTCCCCCAGGCTTCTCTAATGCTATGAGCCGAGTATGAGAATGACAGAACAAGGAATGACTGAACTAGCAAGGGGATTGGTACAAGTAGGAAGGTAGAGCTGAGAGCGAGTGGCGAGTAGACAGAGGAGTGGCCTGAGGCGAGGAGTACGTGAAGTCGAAGCGCTGAAGGACCTGCTGCACCATGTGTGACTGAGTCAGGGTAATGGTGCGCTGTGCTCTGTCCCGGGTGATCTGCAAGCCAAGATAGCTGCGCAGTTCACCCAGGTCTGTGCACGTGTGTCTCTTCTGCAGCTCGGACTTCACGTGGGCGAGTCCAGCAGTGTCAGCAGTAGCAAAGACCATGTCGTCGACGTACACGAGGATGTAGAACGGCGGCAAAGAGGTGTTGGTGCGTAGAAACAGCGACGGGTCAGCAGTAGAAGGAGCAAACCCGAGGGCCGCAAGCGTAGTCCTCAGTGTGTCGTGCCACTCACGGGGCGCCTGGCGGAGACCGTAGACTGGCCGCCGGAGGCTCCATTGGGTACCAGGAGGAAACGACCCAGTGAAGCCAGGTGGGCGGCGCAGCCAGATCTCCTCGTGCAGGCTGCCCTGTAGGAAAGCAGTGCTGAAGTCAAGAGAATGAAGCTCGTAGTCGCGCTGAGCGGCTATGTGCAGCAGCACCCGAAGAGTGGTCATCTTCAGGGTGGGAGAGAAGGTCTGGAAGTAGTCAACTCCCTGTCGCTGACTGAAGCCTCGAGCCACGTAACGCGCCTTGAAGACAGCTGGAGAACCCAGCGGCCGCTTCACCCTGAAGATCCACATGTCACTGACGATGTTCGCCCCAGGAGGGGGAACCTCGTCGACGTAGGTGCCTGTGGACTTCCAGGAAGCCATCTCTGCGTCCATGGCTGTCTGCCACTGAGAGGAGTAGGGACCCTCTATCGCCTCTGCGTAAGAGCGCGGGGTCGGGATGTCTGGTGCATCCAGGTCTCCCTCAGCGCAAGCAGCATGGACACAAGATGAGGTAAAGCAGCAGCAAAACACTGGAACTCCTCCTGCGTGTCCTCAAGGACGTCCGTTCTAAGAGCACACTCACCCCCGACGGACGGAGGACAGACAGACTCAGACTCAGCAACAAGACTAGCGGCGTAGTCTAGACGACAGTGAGCAGCGAAGTCGACAAGCTCAGCAACTAAGGCAGACGCAGCAGTGGACTCAAAGGAAAGGTCAGTGACAACAGTGGCCAGGAGACGCGTGACAGTAGGACTGGCAGCACGAAGGGAGTCAGACTCCGGGTCAGCAAGAGCAGGAAGAGAGGACTCTAGAGGAGACGGCAAAGGGACACGCAGTGGAGCAGTGGAAGGAAGCAGTGCCATCTGGTGCGTGCTTGGGACCGCAGGAGGACGCTGACGCGGAACACGACGACCAGTGCGAGCAGCACGAACAGGCGACGCAGGACGAGACTCAGGCTCACGACGCTCAGCAAGACCTCCAGT